CTGGGAGCACAGTGAGTATCAGCAGAATATCCATTCTGCCTTGCAAGTTAATGATAAATTTCCATCCATTTCTTGACTTCTAAGAACTAAATTTAGCCCTTGAACACTTCCAGGTCACATGAATTTGAGATATGAATTAAATTTTAAATTTGTAATACTTTTTCCTGAGCAATTGCGGACAGTGTGACAAGAGCTGAACACGACTAATGAGAAAAGAGAATAAAGCCAAGAGTCCAATTCACTACGGTTGCCCCAGATGAAATGCCCCCAATTCATCTGGGGCAACTGTAGAAAGCTGTCTTCCCATGGAAGCGACAGTAAAAGTGATTCCACAAATGTATCTGTGCAAATTTATATGCATGTGTGTAAATTCAGTGCTCCTACACCACCAAAACAAATAAATCTGTATCTTTTGTTGATATTTATGTCTGGTTTTGTAGGGCTACCAAAGAAAGCCAGAGGCAGCGCCAAGCAGAACTTGTAAGCACCGTGCTCTGAGACACGCCAGGCTTGTATTTCCCAAAACAAATACTGGTCAAAGCAGAGATAACATTTAGACATTTGCTTTAAAGTGTAGCATCCCTTCCACCTGCCAGTGCTGGCTGCAGAAGATCCAATCTAGTTAGCATATTCCTGACAGGCTGCTGAGAAAGCTCCTGTCAGACACTGGCCAGCCGGGTGCTGAGACGGAGCGCACAGCCCCAGCTGACTAGTTAGGGAGAGACTGCAGAGGTACAATTACAGAGGCATATGACAAGCTTTCATGCTTGAGTGACTTGAGAACCGATGACATGGCTTTAAACAGCAATCCTTCCTACCTCCGGTCACAAAACAGCAATAAGTCAACTGATGCACTGTTGTAAAATCATGATTTATTCCTTTGCTTTGAATACATGAGAGTGTGGTATGATGTTCTGGTAGACTACCACAGCAGGTGCACTTGGGGCCAAAACATCTAGGGCCTGCCTCCAGCATGCATAAAATCAATGCTGTAGCTCAGCCTTCCTGGAAAAGCCAATCCCAGCACTTTAATAATTTATAGAAAGACCGAATTAAAAAATTATTTGTACTGAAACTCATACAGCTCCATGCAACTAATAAGAATACATGCAGATGCAGTGACATGTGAGGAAACAGTGCTGTGAAAGAACATACAGCCTGATGTTTAGGAAAGGTCTTCCTTTTGCTGCTAAAGTGAAATAACTAACAGCCACCTCTGTGAGTAGATCAATCCCTTTGTTTCATTCATCCTTTCGCTTAATCTAAAGCCACATAATTTGTTTCTCTTTCATAGTTTACTGTTCAAAAGCCAGAAATGGTAATTTTTGCTACAAACAGATCTTACAGAGCATAATCCTCAAGCAAGCTGAATCCACTTCGTTCTAACACTAAGCCTGAAGCAAGCTGTGAGGTTGGTGCTAATCACATTATTAAAGTGGTTGGAAAGTCTAGCTAATAAAAGAATCAACAGTTAGGGCAAATAATGACCCAGAAGCTACAACAGAATGGAGTGGTGGGAAGTTTCCACTTGTATCTTGGTTGTAATTGGAAGGACTAGCAGACAAATATCTACACCAAACGAATTTTTAAAGGGGATAAACCCACAGAAAATCAATTTAAGGGGAGATGCAAAGAAAACACAACTGCAATATTCTGAAGATGTACATAAAACAAAACGTGCTTGGCTGAAATAAAATATAAGCTGAAACACCCTAAAGATGGTTCTTTTTTTTCCGTTTTTAGGGTTTCTTTTAATTAAAAAAACTCTACTCAGCAACTTAAAATAGGCAACCTTATTTTCTTCTGTTATTTCCTCTACAGTAAACCTTTTTAAATATAGCATCGTGTTTTGCCCCCTTTTTTCCGTACTAGGACTGATCCTTTCCTTGAATAAAATGGCAGTATGAAATTAACAGGGCAGAAATGGTAGACAAAGAATTCCTGAACATAAGTAAGTGCACTATTCCATTCCTGGCCCCACAAGAAGGGTGAGGAGAAAGTGAGTAAGGCCTTGAATTATGCCTTTTGTTATCAGTCACTGCCCTGAGATAGTGAACCGAAACAGAGCTGATAACTTGAAGGTGACATCACAACCCAGTCTCCATGAACTGACATAAACACTTGATATTCAGTTAAACCCAAAGATAAGACACAACTCCCTTAACAGAAAGTTGTGTTTGACTGCACTTTTTTTGAACAAATAATCTTGTCTAGTATCAAGCTGTAATTTAGGATTATCAAAATAGGAACTTTGTACCAGTCTGCTGTGTTTTGTATGCAACAGCAAAACAGCACAAGACTTGCGCAAAGGATGATGCCCAAATACACTCCATTTGCTTACTGTACTACATCAAGCAATCCCCATGTTAAAGAAGAAATATCTTTTGCCAAAAACACATTTAATCATTCTTGGCAACTCAATTAAATTCTTACAGGCAATACTGGAAAGTGTTTCATTAACTTTTTAAGCTATATTGCTCTGCAAAGAAGCAAGCCATGCATCACCCCTATTCTGTTTAGGAAAGAGATGAGCAGGCAGCACTGCTGTGAACCGAAGCTCTTAAGAAGCCAGATATATTTTTCTATTTCTTTTTTTTATCAGAACTCACTAGTGCAAGTGAAAATTAACCAATCCTGTATCAAAAGTGGATCCAACATGATGTGGCAGTAATTTTGTTCAGCTATGAGTTAAGTAATGCCAGTAGACTGAAAAAGCAATCAGAGAAAAAGTGAAGCTGATGTGCTCTCTCATTTTGGATTGGACCTGCAAGCTACAATTTACATTCACAGCTTGGGGACACTCTCCAGGACATCCAAACACCACTACAAATGTCTGGAAAGTGACATAAATTATTTTCAAGTGAAGACACCAGCAAGATGGCTTTTAATTCATTAAAAGGTTAGGAATAAACAGCCAAAGGTAAACAAAATTCTCACCACCAGAATATTCTATCTGTTGTTGTGTAATGACTTCCAAAGAGAAATCTGATCATTTAAATAAGGTGGTCTAGATCAGCACAGTCTAATTCTGGTACTTCCTCTCCTCTTGTCACATCACAGCACTAGAGACCAGCTGAGATGTTCAGCCTAACAAAAACAAGTCCTAAGCAGATCCAAATGTAGGCTGAGAGTACAATTCTAAATCGTGCCAAGCAGACGGACACGTGCTCACCTGCAGAATGAATTTTCCACGAGCTCAGAGCTGCCATCAGGATTCCTATCTCCTCTCTACTGGAGCAGTAAAATAGGGCTGACTGGGGCATCATTGGAGCTGAGCTTTTTTAATGGTTATTTCTTCTTTTCTTTTCCCCCTTTTTTTTTTCCCTTTAAATACAGCAAGCTCTGTTTCAGACTAGCAAAGTGAAAAAAAATTCTGACTCCACAGTTTTGCGACATCATGTGAGCTTCCTTAAAAGGGCTTTCCCTTCAAAATCTATTTGCCCATTCAGGTCTTATTACTATGTTGTAATGTACAATTCTTTCCCTATCCCTATTTCAGGAAGGGGAGGGGAGCATGGAGAGGAGGAAAAAAAAAAACCTGTAATCAAATATGGAAATTTCCTAAGAAAAAGTAACATCTTTGATGGTTAAAAAGTCTATAACAGACTAGTAATGTGAAGATTGTGTAAATTAATTTAGTATTTATTTCGCTGTTTTTCAGGTGTTCATGTGGCTTCTGCTTATAGAACCCCATGTTTGCTTCACTCCAGTTCTCAGGACTGACTTGGCTCCATAGCCTGCAGAGCACTGGTAAAGGGCTGCCCTTGTGCCCTGCTGTAACTGCAGTGCTGCCCTAACTGCAGCGCTGCCTTTGTGCACTGCCCAAACTGCAGCGCTGCTCACAGGCCCAACACCATGCTGTTTAAAAAAATAATAAGGCAATTAAATAATTGCTACTGCATCTAGAATTGTAAAACCTGTCAGCCTTTTACGGCAATTCTGGACCTTCTCTATCTTCAATTTACTTTTGACTCAAAATAAACGGAAAGGATTTTTACCCATTATATATAATCAAAGAATTCTCACTCCTTACAGCACCTTCAAGTCTTTGAAAACAATATTTTTTAGTACTATATCCAACCTTGTACCCATGTGTTCATTTATTTGGTAGTGCAATGAGCAGTGCTCAGAAATACAGAATTGATTTTCCATCACAGAGAGCATATTACACAATATGTTCTAGGCAGCATTCTTCAAAAAAATTTAGGTAATTGTGCTTAATAGGCTAAAGATTCTACATAAGAATTATACTCTGTAATTAAAACTTGGTTATAAAGTGAGTGTCTCTTACTGATGCAAAATTGACTTGGGAGCATTTTCAAAATACAGGGGATTTTAAAAATCTGTAAGATTCTGTGAAGAGTAAAATAAAATGGCATCTGAATATTTAGGCATACTTTCCAAACAAAATGCAACATTCTTTTATTAAGCAGCCTAAGCAGGCATAAGGAGGGAAAAGAAACATTTTAATGTGGGCATTAGCTCAAAACCTTTAATTAAAAAACTGCTATTTTGAGTTTTACATTATTGACAGTCTCAAGAGCTGCTCCAAATCAGAGATATTACAGTGTGCACTCCCAAACCACTCTAACAAAGATGAATCTACCTATTACCAGGTTAGGATAGCAGCTATTCTTAGGGACCCTTGATTTCTTTCAAGTAGCTCCAATGGAATAAGCCACAAGTGAATAATAAAGATCTTATAATAGCTCTTAAGAATTCTTTTTAGGTTAGAAGGCACAGAAATGACCTCAGGAGAGTTAAAGAACTCTCATCTCCTGATAAGAAAAATAATTAACCTGACTTAATGTATCTGAGTAGGTCTTACATAAATCAGACTTTTGTACTTCAAGAGCCAGACTAAAACCATATATTAGAAGAGCATGTAGATATTGTCCTATAAGTACACATGGAACATATCTAAAACCACAAAGGCCTGCAGGTCATTTTGTGAAATGTTCAATATATCCTACTTAGAAGGAGAAGTGTGAAGTACTTACAGTGCTTAGTTTGCTGGAGGTAATAATGATTCGTCTCTCATGCAACATACTGGCATAAAGTTGCAGCATGTTGTTCACATCCACAGCAACAAAATATTCAGTGAGGTTTCTCTGTTTGAATAAAAAATGTTAACAATGTAGCAACAGTAATAGCCAAGTGGAACATTTGATGCCTATTACTTGCGAACATTTTTGTCTAATTAATAGGTGGGAAAAAAAACCAACTCCAAACTATTAAAGAAATCCCTTTGCACCAAAATTTGTTTGCTTTAAAAATAATTAATTGGGTTTTAAAGCAAATGTGGTGTAAGTCATTAATATTTTTCTCATTTCATTAGGCTTGTGACTTAGATTTGCCCTTTCATATTTTCAAATTCAAAAAAATATGAGATTGGGTATTATATCAATATATGCTTTTAAGATGACCACTACTTCCAGCCCAGGAACAGATCTTCCACCATGGTGGTAACTATTCTGTCACAGCTACAGTAATAAAACTGCTCCTTTGCCAGGATTTCCCAAAGTCAACACATTTTACTCCATTTCAAGTACAGCAAAACAGCTTGTTGAACAATACCAAGCTTTTGCTTGAGCTGTGTGTGCCAGGACATCAAACATCCCACAGAACTGGTGGAAGGTGCTGGGGTCTTCCTGCAGCCATCCTTTTCACCCCTGGTAAGAATCCCACTGTGGGGCTTCATCAGAGGCGAAGTCACCAGCACCTTCCATTAACAGTTCAGACACCAGAAAAGTGGGGGAAAAAGAGAAAAAGGGTGGGGGGATCTCTGTGTTCCAGCTGAATGTAACAATTATTTCTGCAGGGCACAGCACCAGAGACACACAAGTTCTGAATAAGCTAAAAGAGCTACCAGCAAAATTGCCCGGGAAGACAGCAAATTTCTGTAAACACCAGAGAACACATATGAAAATATACTAATACAGCCCTCAATATGCCTAATATTTAATTCACAAATTCATTATCATATCTGCAACCAGAGCTGCTATTCATCTCTTCACAGGGACAACACTACTACTGAATGTTCATGTAGGAAGTCTATCAAGGATAGGCCTCAGCAGAAGGACAGACATCAACAGTGGAATTGTACACTGACATTCTATTCTGCATGTGGCCAACACACAGCAGCAAGGTCACCCAGCCCTGAAAAAACAGCCAGGGCAAGTAGCAAAAGCTTCAGAGTAGGGTGACTTCTTTTTTGAATATATTGCAACATTAAAGAAAAAATAAAATTGAAAAGACAAAGATCCAGTGGTCAATTCAGTTTCATTCAAATTCATAAACCCACTATTAATTTCAATATGTGGAGTATCAGAATTATTCCTGGTCCACACTGCATAGAATTTTGGAAGAGATAAAAAACCCAGAGATTTAGGGCTACAAACACTCATTTTTAAGAAAAAAAACCTCTGGTCTTTCAAATGTTACTTTTAAGGGGTTGTCAGAGGCTGATGCACCATGAGAATCTCGGTCCAATTTACCTTGGACACTCTCTAACACTGCAGTTGATAATGGTGTGCTGATTCTGTGTTGAAAAAGCTGTGTTAAAAACTAGTTCACAATCTTTTACAGATCAATTTATCTTTGGGAGACAGTCACAGTTATTTCTTTGTTATAGTTGAAAAGTTGCTGCTCCTGAAATACATGAACCTTACAACAAAAGGTAAAAAAATTCATTTTATTGCTAATTTACTGTAATTACTTCATCTCTTCACTCCTTGCATGTTCTAACTCTCCATTAGTACCTTAATATTTTGATTCATACTGAAAGGATTAGACTTTTATTAGTGGAATAAAAAATAATTATAGAAAGGCACCCTATAATTATTTTACTTTCCTCGAACCAGGAAAATAAATCTACACTGGCATCACAGCAAGATCCTTGGTCAGCCACATGCCCAGCTAGATGATTTCCCATATTTTCTTCAATTTAAGCCCATAACACACCTTCTAGCCTCCAAAACTCTACTTTATTAGAACACCAAGTAATAAGAGATCCCTTAAAAACTGAGGCATTCAAAACATAAGGTGAAACACATGAAAATATACATTTAAAAACTAAGCCCTGTCCTGCTCAATGAGCCCTAGCAACAAGAGTCCTCTCCTTTATCCCTCCATCCAGCAACTTTCCCTGGTTTCTTGAGCTGTAACATGGTCCATGCCACCTCCTCAGAGTTTTCCACCATTACAGATGTACCCTTAGGCCTCCTCTCTGCTACCAGCACCCTCCTGCTCCTCTCCCCTGGTGTTTCCTGGCTCTTGGTCCTTCCCTGGCACACTCCAACGCCAAGGGGAGCAGCTCCCTGCTGCCCCAACATCATCATCCACCAGGAACCAGCTCTGGGGCACTGCATGATTTTGGGAGCCCCCACAGCTCAACTTCCAGAAGGAAGTCACTGTTTGAAAGTGTGAAAACACACACCTATACAGCCATGCACAATTCCAGATTTAGAAGCTGGAGGGGGGGAAAAAGGACCTTTCAAAGCTCTTTTATGAGATGCTATCTAGCTAAACACATCACAGAGAATGTGAGCTGAGGTTTCCCATTTGCAATTTACCCACAGCACCATCCAGAATACAAGTCTTCATAAAGAAAATTAAAAAAACTACAACCAGAAAAAAAAAAGCCCCAAACCCCCTGTTCCTGGTGCTTGGTTAGCATTCAAGTGTAGGCAGCTACAGCATGTTTTCAAAAAGCCTGAAACAATGCCTTCTTGCACAAAAAATGACTGCATATCTTGATGGGTGAATTTGCTGCTGAGCAATGCAGTGTTTAAAGGGCAAGTATGCAAATAAAACACAAGGTGCAGAAGTAGAATATATTTTATGAAAGAAATCCTAGTAAATGCAAAGAAGCCAAGTAACTACGAGCAAAGGGTGGATACAGCAGTGGTCAGAAATGCCCTGTTAATGCTTTAAAATGGGTTAATGAATGCAACAGTAAGTACCAACTAAAGGTTGCAATAATAGACATCAATCATTTCTAAAAACAGTCTTAGAAAAAAAAATCTCTTGATAAAAGCAAAGGTTCAGCCTAGCCCAAAATGAGGTTAAATAAGAAATGGAATACTTACACTTTCAGGGATAGTTGGCAATCCAGTTATATCAGGAGTAATGAAATACGAGTGCTAATTGATGGGAAAAAATAATTGATAATTTATGCACACAGGAAAAAAAGATTCTTTTCCTAAGAACCCAGCATTTAGGATTTCCAACCCCATCTGTGTTTAAGCAAATAGCCATTTTTCCAATAACATTCTTACTGCTGCTAGACAAAGAATTAAGCAGATCACGACATGAAATGACAAGCTCTGGTTCTGCACAGCACAAAACCACGGGAACAAAATGCAGTTTTGAAACAAACCTGAAATTAAGCCAGCTTTAAATGTTGTCATGAGCCTGAGAGTAGCATTGATTAAATTAAGCATTGAATTAAAAATTGCAACAAAAAAATGCTAAAGGACAAAATGTAAATTTAGAATGGAAAAGAAAAACCACTCACATGAGAAAAATATTTAGAACAGAAATATTATTACTTGATATAAATTCTCTTTCCAAACATCTTTGAACCAAAAAATGTGGTAACAAAAATGCAAGCAAGATCTGAAGCCTGAGATCCTGCAATCATTTATGAAATACATTAACAATTTTATGCATCTTAGTTTGAGGCCATCTAGGATGTAAATATAAAATGGGTTAAACTAAAACCAGATGTAATGTAAATTAACTCTCATTAATCCAATGCTCCTATTAGTTATCAGACATGGATTTAGCTCAGTAATTTTAAGGCATTTTTGCATGTTAATGTAAATTTTGAAACAGAAAAAAAATAACTGCATGCTAAATAAATAATGATTGATTTTAGCTTTTGTTTTCTAGAGAATTTTGTTTTTTCAGACTTTTTGTTTTTACAGTATATTTTTACAATTGTAATTAGCAACACAAAGACATAGCTTTCATAGTTCTCAAGTAAAACTTGAAAAAGATATGCCAAAACTAAGACTATAAGACTTAAATGTGTCTTGCATTCAAGAAAAAAAAATACTATTAAGTCTGTGTAGGAGACTTATTAAACCAGCTTGATACATTTAATAGAAAATTTTCCCCACAAATTAGGTCATTTGGCAATAGTTAAAATTTAAGGAAAAAAAAATGGCTTAAAAAAGGCATCCCATAAACATCATACCACTTGCACAATAAATATCACAGGTATTGTTTACCATCAACACAGGAAAAAAAAATTTTCTCTGCTCAAGAAGAGGAAAATATTCAGATTAAATTCAGATAGAATGCCTGCATTCTTCAGAAGTATATTGAGAACAGAAAATTATTCCCTATATGTAATAAGGTCACAGAATATTTATCAAAAGATTTCTCAGTAATGAAGTTATTAACTTAGAGAAGTAATTATTTCTAATTAAAAAAGTAATAATATTTCACTCATTAAACAGAAAAGGAAGCCAAATCTATGAGAAGCAAAAGCTATTACTGCAGTCATTAAGAGTCATAAAGCAGCAAAAATACTGTGGTATGGAGTCCTTGCACATCTTTGTGAACTCCCTTAGGAAGATGAATGACCTTGGAAGAGATACTAAATTAATAGTTGTTGTCCTGTATAAACTTTTCTCTAAAAAGGACACTGTAAATGCAAGTTTTGCTCATCAGCTCAAGGGTTTGATTTTCATAGAATTTTTGCCAAAGGATTATGACACACACACATAGCTCTGAAGCTGGATTTAAACAGAAAAGGTACATTAATATTAGATGGGTCATTTAGGCCAAAGACAGAAGCAGAACTCCCCAAAGGACAGGGATAAATAAGCCTCAAATCAACAGAGATGTCCTATAGCAAGTGATTATTTCTTTAATTATTATAGCTTTTAGATAGTCAGTGCCTTTTAAACTCACCGATACAAGACAAGGCTGTTTTTTCAAAACTTGCTCACTTGCAAAAATCATCTCTTGGTTCTTATGCAAGATGAGAGAAAGATTGAACAGTTGACTTTTGAGTTTTCCAACAAGAAAGGCCAAAGCTGGCTCTACTGCTTGTAATATCCCATGTTTAAAATACTGGCTGAAAGTAAGTTTTATTCCTTTTATTCCTCCCCCATTTGAATTCAGACTTAGCTAGCCTTCCCAATGACGACAACATTTTTAATAAATTAAAACAAACAAAAAAAATGTGAACTAAATTATTTTTAAGCTCAGGTTTCACAGAACACATGACTACCTCATAAATTTCAGCTGCAGACTATTTGTTACTGGGACCAACAGGTGAGAATACAACTTGGCCCCTAAGTAGACAAAGGCATTCTGACCAAAGATTGCTGGGAAACATCACATATCCAGATACTGGATGTTAGTTATGCACGGTTATGCACATACAATCGTAAGGACCACTGCGGTCTGCCACCCAAACCCTCCTGCAGTATCCATGAGCCTTTACCCTGCAGTACATCTGAGTGAAATCCAAACCAGACTGATGCTGGCACAAGGAAAAGCCACCTCAGGATGTCACTTCTACAATTATTTTTTAGACTGTAATTTCTTTTTAAGTCTATGACTACTGATGGTTCCAGTCTAGCTTTTTTTACCATATCTGAGGACCAAGAAAGAAACATCAATATAAAAGACTAGAACTGCAAGTGGCAATAAATATTTCCCTGCTCCCTGCAGCATTACAAAAACAGAGATGCCTATAGATCCAACAAGCATTGGGATTCCACCTGACCCATTCCTCCTTGCTCTGTCCTATCTGAACCCACAGTATTTGCTCTACTGTCCCTGCAGCCAAGCATTTGGCAAGAGGTTTGCATTTCAATAGCCATTGTTCAGCAAGAAAGTTTACAAACTCCTTGATATAACTGGGAACAAGGCATAATCGAGGAAAAACAATTCCAAAGTCAGACAACATTGAAATAAAACCAACAAGTATCGACTTTATGGCAAGCAATCTGTCATTTCAGCGTAGCCAGCTGTATTCACCAAGACAGCCATGTCCACATTCCCCACAACATTCATTTTGAGGTAAGCAATTTATGGACAAGATGAACTTTGTGAGAAATACAAGGGAAAATATATTTAAAACTTCTTTGTGGCCTTCCTCTTTAAAACAGGAGTTTTAAAGGATATTTTATAAAGCATTTTGGAGTTGCCAAATTATAATTGGTTGTAATACTACCTTTAATGATAGCAAAATATTATTTGAGATAAAGAAGTATTTTTGGCAAAGGTGCTAGGAACTGAAACGTCACACTGAAAACAGAAAGAAAAAACATATCAACAGGAACAATTCCAACTGCAGCCTCAAATCCAGTTCATTGTTTTGGTGAAAAACAACACACAAGACTGGAATGACTTCCAAATAGTCAATTAGCACTGTACATGGTGGGAAAATATTAGGTCTCTATAGCCTAGTGAAAATACAAGGAATCTGAAATATGAAAAATTAAAATAAAATAAAGGTAGTATTATGTTAAGCAGTTAGGATCAGTAACTGCTGGAACAGAAGTGGTAGACTCCATTTTTCCTGCCTTCATAACAAGGCCAGATGCTTCTCTAGAATCTGTGCTTACTTCAATTGAAGTATGGGGCTTATTTCTAAGATACATGAGCTAAAAGTCACAAGAAACCACACAAATAAGGTCAAGATAAATAACCTAATGATATTTCAGTGTGTGTGGAAGTGAAGCCTTTACAAAATCTCTACTTCCTGTGTCCTGCAATGTGTGATGGCTCAACCAAGACCCAGCTGTTTGCACACTGTGGCAAGTGCAGTAACTGTACAGATGCTCTGAACATGCAGCACAGGTTCTGCACTGGATTTGTATTTCATGCAAGCTCTACAAATATGTTTAAACATGCACTCACAAGCTATTCTGGTTAAAACTTGAGGAACCATAACAATGACATATCCACTTTTTGATGTTTCTGCAGCAACACCATCTTGCCCCACTACCACCATGCCATCCCACATCACAAAAAGTTGGAGCACAAAAGCAAAGGAGGCCTGGACATGTTATTTCACCAAGATGCACTTCAAGTTCCATTTAACAGGGTGTACTTCTACTGCTCTTCCTACAACATTTTTGTATGATTAAGCAAAACTAGGAAAAAGAGGAAGAAAGATGGGAAAGCAGCCAGCTTTCACAGACTTTTGACCAATCCTGAAACTGTACCTACTCAGACATAAGAGGCAATAAAACTGAGTTAGTGTCTCCTGATGCACAGCAGGAGAAACCAAAATTGTCTACATGAAACAGCTGGAAACACAAAAAAAGTAGTTCTAGCACTGTCAGATCCCACTGCAGTTTACTTTCTCATCCATAGAGCAAAATTCAAATTTCTTCTTCTTTATGACTATGACTTTTAGAAAACAACATGAGACAGAGACAGTCTCTACCCTGCACAGAGGGGGGAAAAAAAGAGGTTGCCCAAGCCAGTTAATGATGGGAAGCAACACAAATTTACTCTTTCAAAGGGCTGAGGTTTCTTTTTCTTTCAACTTTACCTACTATTTCATAGTCAGTAGGAATAAAACAGAAAAAATACTTACCACACTTAAACTGACTAAAGCATTTGCCTTTGGCACAGGATGGCTGTACAATGATTTCAACAAATCATTTGAGTCATTTTCCTATAGGGAATACATTTTAAAGTTAATTAATTATCATATAAAAACTAATTACTATTTACTACACATCAAACTACATATTGACAAAGACATATAAATATTTAATAACCAAAGCAATTGTAATTCTACTACAATGAAATACAGACCAAAACCAAGGTCTAATTATAGCATTTGTAAGACTTACATATATTCCACTTCATTGAATCACACAGCTAATACCAAACTTTCCTATTTATCTTTTTACATACAATATCATCATTCTCCATGGTCCATTTACTATAATGCATAATTATTGCTTACTCTATACTTCATATGTTTTTGAAATGTCAGCTTTTCCAGTCTCCAGCATATGGCTAAATATTGATGCTTTTTTTTTTAATTGAAATCTAATACACTAATATAAAGCAGAAAGGTACAGCTTTAATGTTGTCAGGAAAGACAGATGCCAGTAGGTCCTTTGCTGTGGAATCTTGGAATACATCTAATTGCTCATGAATATGCAAACTAAACTATCATGATTCTTCACCAAATGCTGCAAGTAATTCTGTCTTGCTACTTGAGATGTCAGAATTACGAGAGGTAGTTTTTAGTTAATCTGCAGGGTGAAACAGTACATCGTATTTCATACAGTTCTGAACAAAAGTGTCTGCAGCTGATAATCAGATAGTTCCAGAGAGCTACAGTTTACAATCAATACATCATGCAGCTCTCCAGTGATGTGACACTGCTCACACTTCACACAGGACCTGTTTATGCTGAGGCTGACACATTATAAAGGTATATTTTCAGCAGCTTTTCTAGAATAATGTGGGATTCAAGTGACTGTGGAAGCTGTATGTTCAAAGTCTTTGAATTTCAGTAATAGGAATAAAATTTGCTTCTAAATCCTACTAAAATCTTAAACTTTTAAACCGTATAGAATCCCTTTACAGTATTTGAAATGGTGACTAATATTTCAAGGAAAATATTTTACACAAAAAACTAGAATATGTAAAATTACCTGTTCTTTAGCCAAATAATCTGCCAGGGTATTTAGGAGCTTGTAGTATACTTCAAACCATGGTAGGTAACTAAAACAGAAGGAAAAAAATATTTTAATAAAATATCAATGTATTTCTCCAGTGCTTATAAACCACTACAATGATTGATCTGACTTGCACATTTTTATAACATCTCTACAAATAAACATCTATACAAATAAAAAGCATATCAACATTTTCCCCAAAAATTCAATGGCACATCACTGATAGACGGTATAGATAGATGGTTTCTTTATGCTGCTCCATTAAGAGCAGATTAACTCATAATAATTAGACTTCTTAGTATTTTCAAGGCACCAAAACCCCATTTGAAACAGTTTCTAATCTCATTGCCATTATCATTAATTGTTACAGATTTCAGAAGTTATTTGCAGTTATGAAATTCCACATCTTCCTACACCTGGTGGGCTGACAGGCCTGCTGCTTCCCTGGAGAATGAAAACCAACTTTGTTTAGGCAGACCAGGTACCCTCTGTTTGACAAGTGGTGCAGTGCTGAGCAATAGCAGAGATGTCACATTATATGTAAGAATATTGGTCTCCCTATAAAGTCATTTCTATAGACAAAATTAACTTCCAAAAATAAAACCATTCACCAATATTGCAAACACAAACACATTAATACATCTATACTTAAGAGATTTCTACCACAAGTCTGCAGCCCTTGAGCACAGTAGTCTCACTGAGTTAAACAGAATCCAAGACAAATAAGACATAACTGAAGAGTATAAGAAAAGAAACTCCAACACAGTGGTATTAGTTCCAATTTGCCTTCTATTGACAGAAGTTCTCTTTAACAGTGATATCATCAGTGACCACATGCTACAGGACTTTCCACCATCACTATTTAAGCTATTAAGTCTGATAAACTAAATAATAACAATAAAAATAAATTATAAATTTATTTTAAATTTATTAATTATAATAAATTATGCCTTATTTACAAGTTACACACTTTTTCATCTCTGTTAGAATTGTATCACTAACATTACTGAATAGGTAACATTATGGTTAATATTAGTTGTTAGAGATTAGAAGGGGGAGCTGGAAAGGAAATAGTGCCTGAAAGGTTTTCAGAACATTTCATACCCATATATAACACCATTACAGACTTCATTCTTCAATGCAGTGTAAATCCACAGACATGCATTTCTTAAAGGCTTTAGTGCATGCTGAGGACAGACCTTACATTGCAAATGTATATACTCCAGGAAGTATGCTAACTGCAACTGCAAAAACCAGGTAGGCAGAACCAAAATGCTTTCCCTGATAGGAAAAGGAAAGCTGTCAGGGGAAACCCTGGCTGGTAGAGAAGCCAAGTACTGCTTTGTGCAGCGAGTCCAGTGAAGGGTTATGTTTTCTTTGTAACACCTCTGTTCTCAGCATGCAGCTGGCAAGGTTTTAGAAACAGATCCTGATTCTTAGGGAAAAGAAAAAGCACAGCAGAAATCCAAACACAGTTATAGCTAATGTATTTTCTAGGAATTTTGCTGTCTTTATAAATGCTTTAACTACTGGCTCCTAAAAAAAAACAAAACCAACCCCCTCCCCCCCCCCAAAAAAAAAACCAAGCAAAAAAAACCAAAAAAGACCAAAACACCCCACAAAAATCCATTATGAATTTGTTCCTGCCAAGCCAAAGAGACAGCGGCAATGATTTAATGATTTCCTTTAACTCCACCATATTAATGTCTTTATCACACTTTACCATACATTGTATTGGCTACTAATCAAAACAACATCAACCTCTTAATGCTCACAGACGTTTTTAATGCTTGGTATTGCTGACAGTGGTTAAGATGTGACATTACTACATTTGTTTTTCAATATTTTCTTAATATAATCATAAAATTTACTTTAGTGCACCTTTGTAAGGCTGCTTACAGGTGTGAACATTCCATGCCCTCATAAAACACCCACCATATCAGCACCTAAAACATCTGATCTTTGAACATTCTTTCACCTAGGACTCCTGTTCTGTAATCTTCTCAAATCATGCTCACCTGGTTTTACACATCACTGAAACACACCACAGAGAGGCAAACAGAATTAATTGTTCGCTGCAGTGTTCAGAGTTTCTGCAAATGTCAGAGCTGTGGAACAGCTTCACAGAATTACCCAGAATTACAGCAGGGACTGGAACACTGTCCTAGCATTTTGTCAAAGACAAGGTGGGTATAAATTGCAAAGTATTTTCATAACAATGCACACACAAATGGGTAAGACTACCTAAAGGCTTTCCACTTTCTTGCTATCACCTCTGTGTTAACAGTATACATGACCCCAGCACATTTTGCTGTAGAATACTCTGAAATCTCACCTGATAATCTATTTTTGATAATGAACATGTATGAACAACATTCAATAAAAATAAATTATATTTCAGTAAAATATTAACCATACTTTTCTAGATGCATGATCTCAGCTACCCTATTAGTGAGAAAAGAAAAATTAAATGCAATTTTTATGCATTTAAAAAGGTCAAATTAATTATTTGAAATTAATGAATCCTAACAGAAAGCCAAGGGAGATTTTTATTTCATAGAGCAAGTCATGCTGACCAGAGTACTTGCATAGAAATTTCTTCCCTTAGCAACACCAGGCTGATGTTACACTTCCATGTCTTTGTGCAAATGAACCACTAAGGAAAACATCCTACTTGACCATAGTTTATGAAAGTCAGTTTCCTTCATGAGCTGAAAGAAAAGTAGAAGAATTGCTTTAAGCCTTATAACCACAGACACAAGGTTAATCACATTTCAACATGTTTCTTAAACCTGAAAAAAAGAGGAAATCAAAATAAGTACTCCATTACACTATATGGCATGAAACCAAAGGCTGCCAGAACCTGTCCTCTGCTTCTTTACTACATAATCTTCAGTTCTTCAATAGCACAGCCTGACTGGTAAAGCTTTTGTCAATATTTCTAATTATAATGTGCTTCAACAAAATATTACAAAGATCTATTGGAAAACGACAAAGTTCCCTTTATATTTTTCTTTTATGTATTTGCTAATTATAATTCATTCAGCATAATTAAGCATTGTTATACCTGCTTTTTCATAAACAGTAAAGAGTGCATTTGCATGTGTGCATACACAATGCATCTCTGCATTCAAAGTAAACACAGGTGTCTTTGGTCATGATAAAGACACCACCAGGTGGTTTTATGGACTGTCAACTCAAAGACCAAGTCCAAGCTCTTTGCAATTTCTTAAATCTCCAAGGCTGTCAAGCAACACTTTTGTCCTCTTTCATCAAAGGCTAATTTTGGAAGCACATTTATTAATAATCCCATTAATTGATTTGGACTGCTCTAGTAAACAGATTTCTTGGTAGATAAACACTGGATCCTACAGGCTTTATATCTTTATCCTGTATATCATATTGGACAAAGAATTGTATATGGAATCCTAGAATCATGTAGGTTTGAAAAGATCTGTGAGACCATTGAGTCCAACCATCAACTCAGCACTGCCAAATCTACCACCAAACCACATCCCAAACACCTCATCTACCTGTGTTTTAAATCCCTCCAGGGATGGTGAATCCATCTGGGAAGCCTGTTCCAGTACTCAACAACCCTTCCCATGAAGAAACTTTTCCTAATATCCAATCTAAACCTTCAGTGGTGCAACTGGAGGCCGTTTCCTCTTGTCTCATGATGTATTACCCAGGAGAGAGCCCGACACCCACTTGCTACCTCCTCTTTTCAGGTGGTTGTAAGGAGCTGTAAGGTCTCCCCTGAGCCTCCTTTTCTCCAGAATAAACAACCCCAGCTCTCCCAGCTGCTCCTGGTCAGGCCTGTGCTCCAGACCCTTCTCCAGCATCTCAATGCCCCTCCTGAAGTGAGTGGCCCAAACCAAGCACAGAGTTCAAGGTGCTGCCTCGCCAGTGCCGAGTACAGGGGGACAATCCCTTCCCTGGTCCTGCTGGCCACACTATTCCTGATCCAGGCCAGGATGCCCTTGGCCTTCTTGGCCACCTGTGCCCAGCTGGCTCTTGGTCAGCCTCTGTCAACCAGCACTCCCAAGTCCTTTTCCACCAGGCAGCTTTCCAGCCACTCTGCCCCAGCCCGTAGCATTGCATGGGGCTGTTGTGACACAAGGACAGTACCCAGCACTTGGCCTTGTTGGCTTGTTTGGCATTTGTTTGTATGACAGCTAAAATCCAGAAGCGTTTCAGGTCAAAGGATCTTCTGACCTTGCCCTGTTAACAAATCCTGCAAAATTATTTAGCCTTTGCTACCGCAGTAGAACTTGTCTATGTAGAGAAAATTCATCCAGCACACAAATGTCCATCAGCATCTACTAGTTGGGTAACTAGTTTTTTTCAAGACAGTACAGAAATGCATTATCTGAAGCACATAGTATTTAAGTGGCTGAATTTGACAGAGGAGACCTGTAATATATTACTCCTCCTAATTAAGAACTGGCAAACTAATATGTACACTAAGTACATTCTAGTTAGTACATACTGACTAATAGGTACACTAATATGTACCTTACACACTAAAGTGTACCCTAATGTGTTAAGGTACACACTAATATGTACCTTAACAACAGAAAAAAAAATCAAAATTAAGGTCCATTACCAGAAAAACCTCACCACCATACCTGTATTCATAAAACTATTTATGAGCAGTCAGTACATTTCATAATTAATTAGCTGTCTTATGAAAACCTCTAAAGGTTATCAATGAAGCCCTTTCACAGTACAGAAAGCAGAGAAAAATCAGGGCTTTAATGATCAATTTTAATGTATTTGGAAGCTGAAATTAATTTCAGTTCTTAAACTATGAAACCACTAATGGTTTCTTATTTTTCTTTAATTGTAGCCACTGTCCTTGCATTCCTCAAGTTACCATCAGAAACTGTTAGATAAACAAACATGTAAGACAAACATAGGACAACATCCAAAAACATACAACAATTTCTCTAAATATTTCTTCCATAATAATGAGAAACAATAAAAGCATAAACAATATTAATAGATCTATATTCCCTGATGGAGAATACAGGGGTCTTTATTTAAAAGTATAGCCCCTGTCTGTCACAAAAGCAATAGACCAAGATCCTTCATGGTTAATTAAAAACATACTTAGCATTTTCTCTTAATCCAAATGAGCCACGAGGCAGGAGCTCAGACTTTTATTCAAAGTCACACACAACCCTTGTTGCCGTAAGTAGACTTCCACCTCACCGGTGCTTCTACTACAGCTCTGATAAAACTTTTACATTCATGAGTCAAAGGTTAAACAAAGGAGAGGAAATGTTTTCTGTCAAATAGTCAGGTAACCACTAACAGTCCTGAACTATCAGCAGGAATCTAACTTCTAGTAATCAAATAAAACTAAGGAAACTGCCTTTCCGTAGCTAAATGTCTAATGTCTAGGGGCTACTTTTCTGTCTGGAAAATTGACACAAAATGTGTAAAATTGAAACATTCTGCTTCTAAGGGATTTGCCTAAAGGAAGAGTGAAAAAGTTTCAAGCGTGGTCTGAACTAAAGAACTACAAAGCCTTACCACATAAACCTGTCTTCCTTATTAGAGCATTTCATTTGGAAACGTAGGTGACAATTTTACAGTCATAAAATTAACAAAATCTAAGACTGAGCATTTTAATGATGCATTTTGTGTTCCTCTGCATACCTAAGGTCAACTTCAGAGCCCATCAAGAGTTTCAATTTATTTATACTTTGTACTAAAACCATTCAGGTAATTCAAAATCAATTTCATGTAAACCCAGAAAGTATCATTTCTACTGCAGGCAGCAGTGATACTTAGAAACAAAACCCAGAAGAATTAACTCTACTATTACTCAAAAGCAGACAATCAAGTTTCTGCTGCACCACTTCAAATCTCAACTAGTAAAACTATTTCCCAAAAATAGGTAAAGTAAAACTAGGATAAAAGATGCAGTATAGGATATGAGCTCAACAAGTTATTGTAGAATATGCCTATTGTGTATCCCTGTCTTACAGGGCTGCATTAGCTCAACACTCTGTGGAGAGGGAGGAGGTGACACAGCAGCATTCACACCGAGAGCTTCACGAAGCAGCCATGCAGCTTAATGAAAAGCACTAAATTAAATAAAACCTGCAAAGGAATCACACAGCATTTCTGGAGAATAATCCAAGAGTTGTTTTCTCATCTTACTATGGTTTAGCACTTCAAATTCGGCAACTGCAGTCAAGCTCTGCACATTCATTCTAGACAATACAATATCACAATTAAGTTTTTCAAACAAAAATGCCTGAGAAAGCTACCTTGGGAAATTTTTATTTCACTTTATAAACATAGAGAGCATTTGAACAATGCATTCTGATTTGGAAGAAAATCCTATTTACACAATTCATATACATGTGCATATAAAATGCAAAAAAACTCCATAAAACTTATGGATGAATTTTGTATGTACAAGTATATTTTCTGTTTCAAACTATCCAGTTTAAAGCAGGACCATGTGGCTGCAAATTCAGAGATAATTTCCTTTAATTAATGTTTCAGATGGACAATGAATTATAGAGCGAAGTCCCATAAACCACAATGACTTTAATCTTACATGCAGCTTTGAGTTGCTGGTGTAAAACCTGAGGACAACCAGCCTTTACTTCAGCTTTCAGTTAAGAATCCCATTCAGCAGTTGAAATTCTATCTCTTTAGACGCCCTGGCAGAGGTTAACACATGGCTTGGTACTATCCACAAAGGACACCTACAAGGGAAAAACTGAACTGTTGCCCACTCAAACATCTAAAGCATTTCCTTCCAATCACTTTGACTGGCTTGTTCCTGCTTGTCTTTAGAGATTTTTAGTTACATTTCAGTTATTTATGATAATTCAACTAAGTTTTCTGTATTTAACTATCTCTAATTGTCTTTGTCAAAGCCTCAGTCAGTAATCTTATTATAGTCCTCTTGTCCAAGGGGATACATCCATGCGCACAGGAGAAGGCAGTTTGACACGGCATTCCTGTACACGTGCACCTGTGTGTTTATAGAAAAGTCCATGGCTGTAGTGCACACACCTGTGATGAACAAGAAGTCTGAATTGCCCATACATCAGCCATCATGTGTATACACATAGCAAATATAATTTTATGTGGTTTTGATATATGGACAAAAGCGAGGTTGAACATGCACGCACATTCTTTACATATAAAGACAGCATTCCTTTTTTTTTTATTATTTTGGTTAATTTAAGAACAATAAGAACATGCAAAGGAGATAAAATGCCCAAAGAAATCTGCTTAGTGAGTCTTCTTTCACTTGGTCACTTCTAATGAATCTTGGGATTCAGAGAAAAAACCAGACTGGCTACTAGAACATATCAGGTGGAAATAGTGATGCATTCCTTCCAGCTAAACACAACACAACACACACATTCTGGAGATAAGCAGAGAACCCAGCCATGAGAACAGTGCTATGAAGCTAGTGCTGTTATGCATTCAGCTGTGCATTGTAAATTTGAAATTGTCACAATAAAAGCAATAAAGGCAATGCTTTGGATACGGTTCAGTGAAAAATTATAGCTTGCCACTTTTCATTTTCCTACTTATTTCTACCAAGTAACAGACCATTGACTAATCTTTAGCTGATGCACGTCCATGGGGAAATGTTAAAAGAAATACCCAGTTTACACCAGCTGAGAATTTACATCCTTTGCTTTGCAGCACTCCATGCAGTACTTAAATGCACTTGAGTGTGCATAACTGATTAGATGTTGTTACAGCCACAGAAACAACGCAAAAAATTTTGTTTCTAGCTTGATGAGGGGAGAAAAGATTAACTCAGAGAAAAGAGCTAAAAGCATACACATATATTTTCACTCTGGGCTTTAATAAGTTATATTAAAAAAAAGGTATCACAGAGAAAATGGCTAAATATTACGCATTCCAAAAGCCTAAGACTTAAATCCTTCTGAAGTATTACTAAAGGCATATTTCAAAGATCCCAGAAAGCAAAATAATTTCCAGAATGTAGTATTTCCCTTTTGCTACTTTCATTATATGGTAGTATTCTTTCTTTTTTTTTTTTTTTTTGCAATATTTACAGCAAACCTTCTTTTAAAATTACTTGCCAAAAACATTCAGCGTACTGGCTCTCAACATTAGTTTGGCATCTGTTTAAAAGTTCATTAAAATCTTGATGTGCTCTTTCCAATAATTTTAAGCACTACTGTACAAGTCTCTATATTGGCTGGCTCTTTTTTCCCTCAGTGTTCATTTTCTGATAATCCTTTTGCAGGCTGATGTTGGATTTTTCTCCCTAACTCACATGGTCTATCCTAGGGACATCCTCCACAACTACCTGATTTCCATATTGCCCAAAAATCTGAGAACTTGCTTTTCTCCATATTCTTCCTATCCTATTCTCCAAAATTCTCTCTTTCCCATTTGCTGCCAATGCATTTGGCTCCTCCTCTCTTATGTTTGTCCAGATTCTTGCTTTAAAAGCAATTTAAATTCAATTTTTTTCTTCCTCTTTGCTGCTGAACTGGACATTCGTATTTCCTCTACTGGGCTTGCAGGCTGCTAGGTTCTTAATTGAAGTTGCAAATCTGTCCTTTAATGAGATCACTCTGCCTTTAATTTAATTACAATGGTTTTAGGACAGCTAAACAAATTGGGGTTTTTTGTTACCAAAACAATTATTTTAAGAGAGAAGAAAGAAAAAGCAGAGAGAGAAACAAAGTATTTCTTTGGGGTCACTCTCCCCAACATCAGTATCTTCTCTGCAATAAAACAGCATGCTCTTGTGAACTCTCTGGATCTATTGTTTCTTATACCAGCTATCGTCCAGGCAAAGAACTTGGAACAGACACCCAAAAATCTCCTTTCCAAGGACAGGAATACAGAATAATGCACTTTATTGCTGAATTGACAGAGTGCTTGTCAAAGATCTGATTAGAAAGTAAAAATATCCACATAACAGTCCAAGCCTCTAAGGCTGCAATGCATTGTTCTCTGCATTTAAGCAGAGATTTCATGTTATTTGAATAAAATTATTAAGTTCACAGAAGAATACCTTCATATGGGGCTTGAGGCCACTTTTTATGTGAAAGCAATAGTAACGCTGCCATAGAAAAATAATACCTGATAGCAAAGTTAAATACATTAGCAGAGAATTTGGAGAAGACAATTTTTTTCTTGTATTTTCCATATTCACTCATTGAGTCAATTTTTATTGTGCCACCTTACCTTAGGATACAGAGGCAGACCTTGCCTCCTGACGTCAAACGGCAGAATCCAAACCTTTGCTTACTTTCAATGTCAGTGAGCACAAAGGTGAAATGCTGTCCTACTTGGTTTTGGGACACCCTGAAAAAACAGATACAGAGCATAAAACCATTAAATCACATAAAACATGAGCATTTAATTCATTGGCCTCAATTATTTTCATGCTTAATCCTCACTATAATCCTCAATACAATTCTATTGTCTGCTGTTCTTTTCCAGTTTTTACACAATCTTCTACAGCAGAATACCTAAGAACCTGCCAGTAATGATTAACACCTGCTATTTCTGGTTCAATCTTAGATGACCATGCTGAAAATTAATTCCCAGAGAAGCTAAAAATCATCACAGACCCCAGTCTACCAGGCAGAGAGCACCAATATTTAATTTATCCCCTGCAATATGGGGCAGGGGTCTGTTGAGGTTTTGCGGGTTGGTTTTTTTTAAATCTCCAGCAAAATAAAATATAGAAAATCTCCCCCCTAAGGAAAAAATAAGTAGCAGTTGATCAAAGGGCAAGAGAAGCTACATAGGACACAGATTTTTTACTGTTTAAGACATGCATGACAAAGGTTTAAAAATTAACTACATGGTACCACTATCCAGCCTGTACAGTCTCCCATTCTTTTCAGTTTATTTTAGCTCCTCTTGAACATAAAGTGACTAAAATGAACCAAAAGCCTGTACTGAGCATACAACATTAGAAGATACGCTTACTCCAATATAATCACCCATAATTAATGGACTTTTTTCATTAGGTAATTAATCTCAAATCATTAAAACAAGCACTTTCCTCAGCTGCCTTCAGCAGCCTGGAACAATCTAGTGCTCTCTTTAACCACTGTAAATACTCAATGGCTTGTGCCCAGTCCCTCCCTGCTCAGGTTCTGGGGAGCTGGGATGCTGCACGCTGCGCTGGCACCACAGAGCCATCAATAACCTGGCCCTACTGCTCCCCTGCCACCCCTGTGGTTTCCTCTGCCACATCTCTGCACTTTGCTCCTTCCTGCAGAGAGCAGACTGCCATGGAATGTGCTGTGTGGTTTCAGCACCCCTGTGCACCCTGGGGCTCCCACAAAAACCAGCAGCAGCTGCTCAGCTGGAGCACTGGAAATGCTCCGAGCAGTGACCTTGGCTGCCTCTGCTCCCACCCTCAGCTCAGCCATGTCCCACTCTGAGCCCTGGAGCTTCCAGCAGCCAGCCCTGGCTTCTCCTCACACCATGGAACACCTGGCAGGGTTAGGCTGGAGGCTCTGTGCACAACCATACTAACCCAAATTGATTTTAATGTACTGTGTACACCTATGTCAGGCAAAATGTCTGTACACAGGGCCACTTTAAAAGTGAGATATAAATTCTGATATTTTCTATTAAAAATAGCCCAGCCAAGTTATGAGTTCAGTGGGAAGCATTTCTGATGCCACCTCACCATCTCCAAATCACAATCTTCCCTTTGCTTCTTTAAGAGAGGCAACTCCATGTTTGACACGCAGCATAAAAGCGGCCCAGCTTGAAAAACACTTCCCACACAATTTAGAAAGAGATGTGAGCAGCAAGTCCCAGATTTTCAATTTGAGAAACACTCCAAGGCTAAAACTAAATTTCCACAAGAACCCAAAAATTTGCATTTGGTCCCGTTTGCTTCAAAAGAACAGCTAACAGAAGCCAGTGACCGACCATCCATCTGGACTACATTTTCTGCTCAGTTTAAAATACTGAATTAATTCTGAGTTTCTAATTTGAGAGCTCCACTTAAGATGTGGGGGCAGCAAGGATGCCTGTTTTTTCACTCCTCTTCAGCAGAATTAAAACTGACTATATGTAAGCCCTACCATGAAAAACCAATGATAATTGGGGATTTCAATCGATAGACGACCACAATGTATAAACCAGATACATAAAACATTCCACAAGTGCTAGCACTACAGCTTTAACACATATATAGCATGTTCCATCCTGCAGACAAACACAGGCCAAGTGACTTGGGGTTTGTGCCTCTCTGTTTCACTGCAGCACATTCAGCTTGTTCAGAAATCAAGTCTCCCCTCCAGCAACAGGCAGCAGCTCCTGGCCCTGGTACCTGGACCACAGCATTGATGCCTCTCAAGTTTTCCTAGCATGGAAACCAGCACAGATAAAATGAAATTATCATATACCAGAATTCCCTCAACAAAATGTTTTCCAGACTTGTTATTGGAGCACAAGATAAACCAGCCCAGCTGCAAAACCTTTCTGCAAAATGCCGCTCTAGTCAGCTGTTTGAAGGGAGCATGATCTGCTCCCTTGAAGGGGAGAGCAGGCACAAATCGTTCCCAACCAGTGCTGACATTCTCCTCACTCTTTCCTCTGCCTTGCTTTTGACTTACTTTCAACTCTTGCCCTGCATGCTCACTTTTAATGTTAGTTCAATAATAATAAATCACTAATAATGAAGAATGTGTGTAAATACTTATTAACCCTGCAGACTACAATGGGCTCTTTCAAGGTTATTACAGTTCACTATAGAAATAAAAATAGGTTTTAAAATTTTCTGTGTGCCTACACAATGCAGAAAAGGCTCTTTAGTACACATAGAGTAGGTAAAGAGTAATTTTAAAGATTTTTGTTTACACTACAACCATTGCTTAGGCCTTATTTTAAGGGAGCCTTGAGAGAGTTGATTAAGGCAGGAAACTGAATCTCTCCTTCAAACAAAAAGCAGCATATCTAATCACTAAATTTATCCTTTGCTCTCCACAAAAACTGCTCTTCTTACAGATTATTTTGTTTAGGATACAGAAGATGTTTGAAATTAATTTTTTCTTCAAATTTTAGAAATTTTTGAGGAGTTTAAAAAAAAATTAAGACCTTATACATGGGAATAGAGATTTCTGTTTTCTTTTAAAAATAAGTCTTAATGTTATTGTTACTTATATCACGTACATGTCCTTGACCAATATAAATAATATACACAGTTCTGACTGAAGCTTTCATGGCTGCTACTTAAACCTGAAAGTTTCACACATATTACAAGTCTCAAACTGATAGGGAAAACCAAACCCATCAGTCACCAGTCTGTCACCCTAATTTCCCAAATCAAAGAACAGAATAGAAACTGTTTCAAGCAGGAATTTGAAAACCAGGTGTTAAGGGGGTGGTACAAGCTGATGGAGAGACTGGGGAGACAGTAGCACCAGGCTGGGCAATCTCCTTCAGCTAATTGCTATCCCCAAATCTAAGCTTCAAGGACTATTTTCTTCACCTCCATGCCCATTCCAGGATCCATAAGTCCACAGCTCAGGTTCCCTGTGTGGAAAGCTCCTCTGTTCCAGCCAAGCTGTCTGATTTGAGCTCTGCCTCCCAGTTCAGAAAAAAAAAAAAAAAGAAAAGAAAGAAACAGGAGAAAAACTCCAGAAGATATGAAAATGGACAATGCCACCACCAATTAAGAAAATTCCCACAAACAAAAAGCACAGTTAGCTTATTAATGGGGTCATGTTTTCATAACAACAGAAGCATTTAAAGAAACCACAACTACTGGTAAAGAGTCTCACTGGGAGTATTTCAGTTGCAACAGAAGCCTGTCTAGAAGCTCTGTCCCAGGACCCTGCCCATCACACCTGGCCAAGGGTCTATGGGAGGACACGGCACCTCCCCCAGCATTCCAGGTTTCCTCTCAGACAGGTGCACTTCTGCACACCCATGGAAACCAAACAACTCCTGTGTGAAATCAATAGTCACACTCCTCACAGCACACACTGCAGCCTGTCCTTACACTTGTCTCACACACATTCACTGTTACACAAACATGTGCCATAATACAGTGAGATACAAGATGCAAAGAACTCAGTTGTGTGCAACTGCTGCTACATTTCTGAGTTTACAATCCCCCTTGCAAACTGACTGCAGTGCCTGAAGGGTACAGGAAATGCTACAGTTCATTTATCTTCACCTGTACAGCTTGAAATACTTTCTTCATTATTTACTTTTCCTTCTCAACTATTTACTCTGAAGGCAAAATTTTTGTGTAAGATATCTTATAACTGCCTTTCACAAGATCTACAAATCCAATGATTTCAAGGCATCATTTTGCACTTCTCTTGATAATAGCTGTGTTTCTGCACAGACTTTTACCACAAATATCAACAGAAAAGGCATCAGCCAGGAACAGGAGAATGACACTGATGTCATTCCTGCTATCATTACTCACTCACCCTAAAACATTATGAATTAAATAACCCGCATGGTAATTCCCATACTCGAGTGACATTCTGCTGCTAAGGAGAAATCGTCTACAGCAGCAGCATCATTGATTATTCTCCAAAATCCAACACTTCCCCATGACTGGGTGAGCACCATGGAGAAATTAATGTGGTACACATCACTGTCTCCATGCTGTTCCTACAGGCAGTTCCCAAAAGAGTAGCTAAAAGAGGCTTGCGTGCTTCGCATTCAGCAGAAGAAATGCATCCTGAAAGGGAAAAGACTGAGGAATGAAAGGAGCAAGGGAAGTACTTATGGTGGAGAGAAATGGCAGAGGCTCAAAGCACAGATAAAAATGAGGGGTCAAGCAGTGACGTAGCACAACTTCAGGCTGAACCAGAAATGGCTCCAAAAAGAACAAGAGAAGTTGCATCCTCACCAGTCATCACCCAGTTACATAACTGATGGATGTGGAGATTGGGCTATGGACTCTGCAAAGTCACACCTGAGCTCTGGGTTGAGAGGAAAAATACAAAAGACTGCTGGAGAAAGAAAAGTGAAGCAAGCCATGCAGGATTTGCACAGAGGATTCAAGCAACAAGAGAGAACAAAATGCTTTTATCTGAAGCATTAATATTACTTTAGCAAACACTGAAAGGAAATTAAAATCTCTGTCCTCAAATGTTAAATCATCCTAGACCATATAAAAATAAATAAATGGAGTACCAAAGAAAAGGGTCTTTCTTTGTAAATACATACATGCAAACTGTTAGAATATTATATACTTGTGCCATTATTAAATAGAAAATAATTTGTTCAGAAAAGAGACATAGGTACTTGGAGCAAATGCTCAAGAACTTCTATGATGGAATTAATTTCTTAATCCCTTTAAAATAAAATGTAAGCCATAACCAGAAGTAACAATTTACATGTTTGTTTTCAATAAAAAATATATATAAAACTCAAAGTTTAAGTCATGGTCAAAGAATTTTTTTTACACCATTGTGCCTCTTTTGGCTTGACTTTCAGTTTCAATTTAATGGGAGTTTCCTTTAGATTTTTAATTACCATTCACAGTATGTACTTTTGATAATTAGTGTGAGTAGTGTACAGTTACTTATAACATCTGCATAAGGTATGCCCAGTGAGATGATGCAAGCAGCATCAAACAGTGAGAACTAAATCTGGATCTCTATGATCATTGCAGGATAGTGGATAAAAGAAAATCCAATAGATTATCTCATTTCTTTTCTTTTTCAATTCCTTAAGTAATTAACATAGGTGACTTGAAAGAAAATGGGTGACAGTGATCTTACTACTGGTGCTTTAACTTTCCTTTCTCCATAATTTGAAGAACATAGATTTTTTACTTTATTTAGTTTTATTTAGCTGGATAAGAGAATTAACACTCCATTATCTATAACTCTGCTGTGTAGTAGAAACCCAGAAGAAATCTATAGAACAAATTTTTTTTTAATTAAGTATCAGAATCATACTTAATTCCATCATATAAGTTGAAGCTACTACTTTTGCACTAGTAATTTCTAGCTCTTAATAGGTTCAGACAATGCTTGAAGTATTTTATATTAATAAATATACATATCCTACATATATGTATATAAATATACATATATTACAGGTTGAGAAGCTATGCTCTCTGCAGTACAATACACTCAATAAACAAAATAGGTATTTTCTATTTCAGGTCAAATGTTTCTGTACAGAAATTGTCATTGAAAATGCCTGTAAAATCCCTGGGAGTATTAGGTGCACCATCTATCATGACCCTATATACAAGAGGAAAACTATATATACATATATACATTCATCAGACAAGGGAAAGCATATTTATGGCTAGACAAACACTAAAATGATTGTAAGATCTTAAATCTCCAGTGGAAAAAAGCCCTATAAAAAAGAACTTCAGCAGTGTTTTTCTCAATCCTTTTCTTTATCACTCCAAATGTCAAAATAAAAATCATTAAACTGAGAAAGCAGAAGACAACTAGTTATGTTTAAAACAATTGGTAAGGTGTGTCTACACTATAGAAAACACTTGAGCTGAGTATAAAACGGCAAACACATCATGCGGCCAGGAAGTTGTTCACACAAACAACTCGCCAGTGACAGTCCCCACTTTCCTGACTGAGCTTCCAGTATATCTGTCCTTTGCTCCACAATAGATCTGTCCCTCCTCATCCATGCTGCTCCACTCCCATGATCCCACGTTGCCTTTGGTTCTCCCTGCAATCCCTCTGAACTCGGCTCCAGCTCCGCAGGCAGCTGCGAGTGCGGCGCCCGTTCTAAAGGCACCGGGGCACTGCCTGAGCAGGCTGCAGGCCAGACTGAGCAGCCTCACTCCTCCCAGCAGAGCCCCAGCTTCCAGCAGCCTCCACTCCTGAAAGCTGACAAGTTTTATGAAATTCGTAGAAATTTTGCACTTTTGAGAACACTGCTTTACAGTCAAGCATGAAGCCAACAGTCAAAAAGCATCTCCAGGGAGAGGGCACAGGGTTAACAAACAACAAACTTCCTTTCACTTTTTCCTTTTTGTCCCCTTTTTCTTTGTTTTTTACCCCTACATATAATCAGCTAAAATACATACTTAGCTATGCTAGAAATTCAAGTATTCCCACAGTTCATTAAGTTCATTCTCTTCATACCAGCAGCTAAGTGCCTTCTGAATGGTTCAACAGAAATAGTTACAGTAAGACAACTTATTTGAAAATAATTACTCACTGCCACTGATTATCTTCTTGCCACTGGATGGCAGCAACAGAACCTCACCTTTTTCTGTTAACCTCAAATTTTATTTCCATTATTCATCTTCATTACCAATTTTAAACAGAATTCTGTACATATCTTAAGCACATTAAAGACTTTAATGCTTTAAAGCCAATCACTGACAACCATATTACTTAAGTCATTAAAACAGCTTAAAGGACAGTGAGCTTAACCAGTTCAAAACCCAAACAACTTAATTAAATTCAGCTATAAAAGACTAAATAAGCCTAGTTTACTTCAGGGAAGTTGTGTTTATAAAGATCTTTATTTTGCCACTGTGTTTTGCTGCAAAGACACTCTTCTTTCCTCTTTCCACACACCAGCTTTTCCTCTACTGACAGCAGCTTCTTGCATCTGATAGATGCTTCTCATCTCCAACTCGCCATCTACAACTGATGCTCATGTTGTTCTGAAATTGGCTCAGCCAGCACATTACCTGGGTGTATCTTTCATTAATTATGCAAATCAAGCTTTTAATTCAATCTTTGCCAATTCGGACAACAAGGGTTTTCCAAACCAAGTGAGTTCAATCTATTAAATAAATTACATTAATCATTTTGACAAGACCAAATAAATATTTTCATTAATAAAAACATTTTATATTAACAATTTAAATGACTGGCAGCATTATATAAAAACCAGACTATAACTGATACCAGAAAGGTAAGGACTAATTAATTATAAATAATGGTCTGGATTCTTCTCTGAGAAAAATCAATTGTATATTCAGCTACTTCCATGTAATTAAAGTCTTAATTTCTTTGAACTCAAACAACACATTTTCTGTACTGCTCAGTGAGTTTTTATATCCTGGTGCACCGTAACATTTTTAATGAAGCTGCTTAAAGGAAACCGTGTTATATCCTTATACTAACACAGATGGTGCTCACAATTACAGTGTACAAAACTGGGAGCTGGAATGTAGCTCTACCTGGACAGAGATATTCCTAAAATTCTGTAAGGATTACATTTTGCTGTGATAGTTTCCTTCTAGTGACTTCATACTTACTTGAACAAAGGGTACGTTTTCTCATCGGCAGGTGCAAGCTCAGGGAATACATTACATTTGCCTTTTCTTTAAATCCTTCCTTGTAATTATGCTAAAAATAATTTTCTATGAAATATTTTTAAATAAATGATAACTGTAGCACATACCTTTCAACGTCAAAAGGAAAGCAGAACTTTGGAACGCTGTTCAGCACTTCCTGAAAATACAAGCAAAAGAAATGAAGTTAGGGGCTTTTTGAAAAGGCTTTTGAAAGGTTTGCTTTTTTAAAAAATGGCCAAAAATACTCATAACAAATAATAAGTTCAAGGAATATATGATTAGAAAAAATACAGCACACGTTCCTGGACTGAAATAATTGATTATTAAAAAGGAATTAGGTTTGTGCTTTGGCAGATTGCAAAGACAATGCCATAGAAGCCCCAGGAGGGAAAGGCCTGGCCTGAAGGGTATTAACACCCTTCACATCCCCGCTGGGATTCCCTTCAACAAGGCCATATGGATTTTACAAGAAGCACCACACCATATGGGTAAGCCACGTCTGCTGCTACTTGTACCACAGACTAGCCACAGGGACTTCTGACAGATCCTGGCTCAAAAATACAAATGTTGTTTCAATTAAAATGCAGGCAGAGAAAAGGGAATGAAGTTGGCAGCAGAATGAATTACAGAGAGGTATAACAACTCTATACATGTTCCATAGTCAAATGCTGAAAGTGATGGAAATCGCCTACTGGTCCAAAGCAGAAATTTATATGATTAACCCTTTGGGTCTCACAAGCAAGCTTTGCTATCAATAAAGGAAAGGGGGTGGGTGAGAGCAAAATCCACCAGATCTACATTCATACCACAGTATGAAAGGATAATGTCTCTCTTTCGTGCAGAATTTTATTTAAGAAGCTGTTTAGTGGCAAATAAAATGTGTTAATTAAAATATAAAAATGCTCTCAAACTAGTCAACGTTTTTCTTTAAAAAAAAAAGTGAATTACCAGATCATTTAGCAGCAAATATTAAACGACGACTTTACAAGATCCTAGAAAATAGGTTTTATTTCCTTGCTCCCAGCTGGGAAAACAAACCCCCTGTGAAATGCTTCAGCAAGAAGAGACAGTTGACATCCATGCAGTTGGTCAAAGCTGCAGAATTCCTTTTTTGTAGCAGCCCAACAGACCTCTATTTCTGTATACAAGAGCTGGTCTGCAAGGTTTGTTTTCAGAAAAGAGCACATTGATTACAAATTTCCAGGGCTGAACATAAGGGTTTAAGAAGCTGATTTAAGGTGTTAGCACTGCAGCCTGAACACCCTGTTTACTGGAAGTTGGACAGTCAACTCCCATTAGGGGAAATTGTGTATTTCAATTCCTACACATTACAATGACTACTTACTTCAAATATTCACGAGGCTCAGTGGATAGTGTAAAATATAAAGAGCCCACACAGTTAATCAGCAAGAGAGGAAGAGTTCAGGAAAAAGACACCTGTGACTACAACATGTGTATATTTTAGCTGCAACATTTTAAGGGTATATGATGTGCCTCAGCAAACCTTTATGTGATACTCAATCAGGAAGTCAATGTTTTTAGAATTTGCAAGTCATACAAGAGATTTCAAGGAATCTTTAGAACTTTTACTTGGTTGATACAGTGCATGAAAGACACAGATGTGTTTTTGGGAAAGGTTATGAACTCCATTAACAACAACAGCAGTACATAGAATACTCTTCAAAAGGAACTGCTCAAGCACCATCCTACCTGCTCTGAGTGCCCACTGCAGAAGGGTGAGAAGCAAAATATAAACAGGGCAGGTAAGCATTTGATTTCTGCAGTCAGGAACAAGCACACACAATACCAGTAGTAACAATAAAAAACTCTAACAAAAGAGAGCAAGCAGAACAGGCTAATCAAAACTTCTAACTCAGAAACTTCCTAAACATTTCCAAATAGTCTCTCTCACTTCAGGCTCATAAAGCTTGTTTTCCTGTTCCAAAGAAATAGTATTTTATTATTTTTCTAAATCTGCACCTATTCTCACACTATAGGAAGTAATTTTTCTCCTCACTAACAAGGATTTTAATTGCTGCCTGGTGAGCTTAGCACTGACTCAGAATTGGGTATGGAAATGTATTCATTTATGTTCCCCATTGTATCCTCTTAGAATAAATTATCACGAGAGGAAAAGAAAACAAAAACAAAAAAACCAAAGGTATCAGCTCAATATTTTGACGGAAGAACCTGAAAATTACGGGTGTGTTTTGCAGCGCTGCCCGGGCCGAGCACAGGCCAGGGCTCCCCCGGTGCCGCCCGGCCCTCCCCAGGCGGCCGCGCGCGCTCAACTTCTGCGGAGCGGCCTCTGCCCGCTTCCCAACTGGCAGGAGCATCCCTCGGGGGACAAGTCTTTAAACCTCCGCACTCTTTAAAATTCAACCAGCCAGCAGGTCTATAGACTGGTGTATAAACAGTATAGACACACACACACACACACATACAAAAAAAATCCTCTCTCAGCTTATGTCAGTGACAAAGCAGCTCAGCAGTTGACTGCTTCTCCCCTGACAGCATAAGCCGGGTTTACACAGATCAATAGATGGAAGTCCTACCTAGCTTCCAGGGCTCCGCTTTCTCCCTTAATTACAGGTGCTAGTCAGAATTTTCAAATGGAAAAAAAGAAGCCCCCAAGGTGCTTCTAGATGAATTTAAAATGTAAGTGATATTATACAGACACATTTGTGTACATATTTGTGTACAATTACAACTGGTACTCGCAGCAATCTCTCTATTGGATAAAACTGGAGCTCTGTCTCCTAACAGGTCATCATTTTCAAGGCTCTCTAACCAGCCAGGACTTCCTCCTGAGTCAATATTTACACTCTCAGAAAAAGAATAACATTATTTGTTGTCTTTTATATTCACAGCCTGATAAAATTGTATAAAAATTGATAAATGTATTTATTTCTGAAGGCAAAAGGTTGTAGAGGTCTTCAAAAAGCAAAATAGTTCAATTCACATGTCCCAGGATTATTTCCTCCTCTGGCTCTCACAGTATTAGCACTTTCAGAAATGGCCCTTGTGTCATAAACAAGGTGTATACAGGGGGAAGATAATAATGATATAAAAGAAAAAAATTAAGACCCACACAAGTAGAGTTATCTATTTGCTTTTAAACACTGACTAAATATCTACAGGTGCATACAAAATTGTGTTTAATTGCTAAGTTAAAGGATAACTATCTCATTCCTTGTGCAAACTCCAAGAGAAAGAAGAAAATCATAAAAATAATATCATGTGAACTGTGACGTGCTGCTTCCCTTGAAAAAAGCTTAAACAAAGACAGAAATTTACAAAAATATTTGCTTTATACCTACAGCACAGCAGCAGAACCCTGCACTCTCACAGGCTTATGGTGCAATGGTTTATTAATTCACTCTCATCAGTTGCACTGTCCAACTGGCCTGGTCATGCTCACTGCCTCTACAATAGGAGGATATTACAGAAGCCTGAAAGGTAGGAATTATTTAGTGTTCCTTGCTCGTTTTGGTACCCACTCAGCTAATTCTGTGTATCAGCATTTTATAAAGCAATGTAAACAGTAGTAGAAAATGCTTCTGAATTCATACATGCCAGCTTTGTGGGAAGAAAGGTTCTGATAACTTCATAGTTTAGAAAGAAACATGGTCAGTAATTAACTGACCAGTTAAGGCACTTTTGCCTTCAGATATTTCAGATTTTCCTCTAGATCTAAAGACAAATTATGAAGAATTTCCTGAAACTGTTTTACATAAAAATTAATACTAATTGTCTTGCTATTCATATCCACAGGGCAGTCCCACCAAAGTCCTGTGCACATCTCACCATTTCATTTGCAGTGTGACACCACAAGATGGGTGTAACACAACTGTGTGACGTGGGAGTCTCAGTGTGGGTGGCAAAACACAGAGCCCTAGATGCACCCTCTAAGCTCCACCTGCTGCAACACTTCTATTCACAGAAGATAGATAAGAAAATTTGTGCAATCGCAGCTCCCTAAAAATAGACATGATCTTTCCAGCTAACAATTTTCAGACTAACTTGCAGATAGCGCTGTGGTTTTTGACAGTTCTTTCTATGTCAATACAGCTGCCACGTAACACTTCATACATCCCTGACAAACATGCAAAGAGGAAGGAGATTCTGGACCACATAGCAGAAGTTGTCACTAATGGATTCAAGCAAGATTAAAATTCCACTAAACTGAGCTACGTGTACATTTCTACAACCACAGATTGTTTTGACCCACAGAACAAATTCCACTCCACTGCTGAGAACAATTTTTGATCCTCATTTAGTTGGCTAACATGTAAACCACAACTGAAAAGGCCCTACAGACTAATGACAGACATTCAGAGGAATCGGGTTGCTCGTAACACTTAAGCACAGAGCCCTGTGACTACTTGCTCTCTAAAAGGTGTTTCCATCATTCAAAAGCTTATTCAGAGAAATATCCATTGTGTAAAATGATTAAGAAGCTGAATACCTGCAAAGGAGGATGAGATCACTTACAGAATTTCAGATAGATTTAATTTCTCTTGTTACTGCTTCCACCTGGCCACCATTCAGTTACATGCCTCAGGAGAAGATGCCAGACAGGCAGCTGAAGATTTTTAGTAGCTTTGTCTGGTAACTTTGTGCTCTACACAGCAACAAGGGCACAGGTAAGGGTAAGCACACAGACAGATGAGGCAGCAGGACAGGAAGACTTTAAACAACAAGGTAATGGGATGAGCTTGAGATCTCAGAGAAGCAAAATCACATCAACAAGTAACTCATGGAGGTGATAGTGGAGGCCCCAAGGTCAGCTGTCCCTGTGACTGAGCTTGGAGGTGGATTGTTGCAGCATCACTGAGAACCAACAGCATGTAAAATACACACAAAAAGGAATGAGAAAAACCTTAAGGACTGGAACAGTGAAGGAGCAGGGTGTGGTGCACTCCAGCTGGAGGTATGCTACAGAATGTTCTTGCCCTGTAGAGCAGACTAAGGTTGCTGTCCCAGGCAGCACACTTTTTACTGCTCTCACAGCAGCTTTCAAAGGCACTTCACAAGAAGGAAAGCTAATCCTGCACGATTAATCTCACTGTCCTACAAGACTGAGGCATAAGACTTTCTAAACTACCACAGAGTAAGTTTTAAAATTCAGAGATTTTACTAAATTTTAAATTCTTG